AAAAACGCAGGGAATAAATTTCTGTCATGGAACAAGTAAGAGATGGGTGCTGTGCACCCAGAACCAATTCAGATCGGGCCACTAGGGAAGTCACCTGGCCAAGGCAGAGTTCCATTCAGCATATTCAAGATTACAATGGTCTCTGCCCAATATTAAGGCTGGTCGAGACTCTTGCCTGTGGTTAGATTGGATCTGCCAGCAGCTCGGTCTGATTAGATACTCTGCAGATGGGTTTGGGTTCCCACCAGCCCTCAAAGCCCTTTGCTCTGATGCTTCTCTCCTCACAATATTTGAATTTTGTAATTGTCACCCTTGGATCACACAAGCTGGTGTGCTTCTTCCATGTGGATTTAGTTGACTCCTCACTTAGAATGCTCTTGTTTGAATACAAGCCATTAAGACCCCAGACACTACTGTAGTCTGATTGATAGCCGGACACCATCTGCTCTCTTCACCACACATTGCTGTAGCGCCCTTATTTTCAGTGATCCTTTCATGAAGGCATGGAGCAGGGCCCTGTGATTAGAACAGACTGTTCTTGAATTGGGGCTGGAGTTAAGTAGGAGCCCAGACTGGGTGTGGTGCTTGTTGTTAGGTGCCATGAGTCAGTTCCAGCTCGTAGCGACCCTACAGAAGGGAATACTGGCCGGTCCTGCACCAACCTGACAATTGTTCCTATGCTTGAGCCCATTGTTGCAGCCACCGTGGGTAAGGCCTCTATTTCAAAGGGTTGGTCTGGATGGAATGAGACGACTGATATTTAAGTCATGCAGAATTTGTGAAGTTTCTAGCTATTATGTAGGTTGATTATAACACGCTGTGCATGTTTATTATCAGCATTATTATTGACAGTGGAGGTGACAGGTTCGCCCTGGAGCTTTCTGGCCTCAACAGCCTGTAAGGTGTGTTTGGTACAGTCCAGCTGAGTAGGTAAAGCCCCTCTGACCTCACAGCTCCAGGGTGCTGTTGGGAGGATCAAGCCCTTTGCTTAACCAAACTGCAAAGAAATCCCTCAGAGGCCCCAATTTAGGGTGGTAAGAGGAAGGCAGTCCCAGGGCCAGTTCTCAGCAGCTTTACTGGACGGGAGACTAGAAGACCACCATCCTGGAGCCAAACTGGAAGTGGAGGTGGAGAGAGACCCCAGGTGAAGGGTTCGGGTGGGAACCCTGATTACCTTTCCCACCCCTCTGGGTGTATCCCAGGGAAACCAGCCAGAAGTACTCAAGCAGTCCAGGCCAGTCCTGACAGGGGAATCCCCAATC